TATGTGTATATGTGTGTGTGAGTGTATATGTGTGTGTGTGTGTGTGTATGTGTGTAGGTGTGTGTATGAAGGTATATGTGTGTGTATGTGTGTGTATGTGTGTATGTGTGTATGTGTGTATATGTGAGTGTGTGTGTGTGTGTGTGTGTGTGTGTGTGTGTGTGTGTGTGTTTATGTGTGTGTGTGTAGAGGGGTGGAGGGTGGTGGGGGGTGAAGGCTGACAGTGGTGCCAATAAACCAGCAGTGTTGGAAAAGCTGGCAGATAGTGGACAGCCTCCAAATATGGAGGTTAGCCCCAAATACCCAATAATCAGCCACGGACCAACTGGCGATGACAACAGTTGGCGTGGTGGGGTAGGTTTGGTGGTTCTGCTACTCTTATCAAACACTTCGGCGTGTCAAGGGAACTAACTGGTCATCGGGCGAATCGAGGCGCCCATTAATAACCTTTTACTCTCAGCCATGAATCAAATGTTTAAATGGTGAGGATGTGTGGCTACAACATATATGAGAGACATTGTTTTTTGTTTTGTTTTAGTAGAGGTTTTACGGCACTCGCAACTGCATTAGGTCATAATATGAGCGCCAGAAGATTAGAGGTGTTACAAGAGAGTAACAAACATAAAAAAAGAAGAAGGGCAGAGAAGGACCATAGATGTTTGATAGGAAAGAAGAAGCAGACCAGATCAGAACACCCGCCAACCACCCACTGAGAGACACACTAATTCTCCAACAGTCAATAGCAAAGGGCTGATAAGGATGTAACACCCCAATTTTAATGGCAACCAGACATTCCTGCGTTGTCGCCTCCAGCAGTCACGGAGACTTGTGAGAATAATATTCCTTTGGAGGTTGGTGATGGGCTAACAATCTGTCTCATCAAAGTTTGCTTTTATTATTATTATTATAGTAGAGGGTTTTACGGCGCTCGCATCTGCATAAGGTCATATGAGCGCCAAGGGGTGAGTGTCAACAGAGAAGTCTTTACAGGGAATCAGACTTACTCTGCTCACCTCTCTAGCTTCAACAGCACAAAGTCTGCTTCAACTATCAAGGCACACCGGAAATAGCAGGTCACAAGAGAGTGAAGAACATACAAAAGAAGTAGAGGAAAATGACAATAGTAAGGATTAGGAAAGAAAAAGCAGTAGTTCCCTGTTGTAGATTAGGCACAGTTATGAGCGTAACATAAATCAGCCCATTTACAATTCTACTGGGCTTGAACGAGAAATGTCCCCCCTTTGGGAATGGCCTAAATACACTACAGTCGGTGGCACTGCCCTCGTTGGGGGGGGGGGGGGGGGGGAGAAACTTTGCTAGTAACTGATACGGAAAGCCGACCTCGAAACTTTGTCTGCATATTGGAGGAGGGGAGCGGCTCAGAGGGAACTATTATGACGGTGAACAACCCGAGGAGCTCTTTACTAAGGAAAACAAAGAAGCATCCAAAAATGTGTGGTAGCGTGGTGGAATCAGGCTCTCGCCAAAATAATAAAAGTGAAGAAACTGGCATTTTCCAGCAGATTTGTGAATTTTTTTTTTTTTCGTATTTTTTGGCTCAACACACTTCATGCCTTTTAAATAACACATTTATGTGTTGATTTTACTGAAAAACGTTGATTTTCACTAATTTTACCTCTGAAACCAAGCGACCCCAGTTCCTTCAATCGCAAATATCTCGACTTCTATTCAACATAGATGAATATTTTTTTACCAAAAGAAAAGCAAATTAACAATCTTTAAGAAGATACCAATAACCCCATATGCCCAAAAATTGATGAGTGCCTGATTCCACCACGTCGAGCTACAAATAAGCGAGGCGAGGAGCCCCAAGATTTAGAGCACTGGCTGCAGAGATGCCCAGCTACGGGGGTCCGGTGGTGGAGTCTCTGTGGGTATAGGATTCAAGGAGATTGGACTGCCTCACCCGCTACCCACGACAGAAGCGGTAGCCCTGGCGAAGAGCACGCTTGGCACATGACGTAAAGAAGAGTTGTCCCGTCTTGGTATAATTGGTCTTGGATTACACAGTACCTAAATATAGCAAGGCAGACCCGTCAGTTGCACATCTACACACGTCAACACACAGTGCGGCCGTGCTGAGACGCAGCGAGTGTGCCTCTCACTCACTGAGACACAGGCGCCAACCCACAGTGCAGCTGTGCTGACACGCACACGGCGTGGGCCAGGCGAGCTACAAGCCAGACCTGCAGAGCCACTCTGGGACCTTCCTTAAAGTGTGGTGTTGGGGAAAATATGTCAACTTAAAAATGTTTTAGGCGTATGATATAGGCCTAAATTCCCTGTTATTATTTCTTTTTCCTTCTTTAGGCTTACATCAAAGAAGACGTGTCGGAGCCTTAGTTTGCATTGACTTTTATGAATGGGCTTTTAGATTCTATTGGTCATCTAATTTTAAAACTCGTATGCAAAGATCTGAGAAGATTAAACAGAGCCATTTCAATGTATCTTGCTCCACCGCCAGACGAAGGGGAACAAGATAATATGACACAGTTCTAGTAGTTACTAGATCTAGATCTGGTAGGTATAAATATTGGCCAAAGAGGACAGGAGTCGAGACTGAACGAAGTTGTTCAAGGGAACTAATCCTTAAATATTCTATTGTTGGTATTTAATTTGTTTGGTTGTGTCCCTTGTTCTGATAAGATGTCAAAAAGTATTTTTTGCAGAATATTATTATTATGGCTACACTGTTGTTGCTGTTGTTGTTGTTGTTGTTGTTGTTGTTGTTGTTGTTGTTGTTGTTGTTGTTGTTGTTGTTGTTGTTGTTGTTGTTGTTGATGATACGGTCTTATTTGAGAAATGAAACCCATAATAATATCTCATACTCATTTTCAATGGCCTTCAGTCACAGTGGCATTTGCAGAACGTGGAGCTCTCCGGCATCAAAGTTTTCATTTAGTAGTGAGACCACTCCGCTCCCTGGATACTGGATACCTCACTACCTCACCCCAAGCATTTTCGCAGAGCTGTGTATCGTGCTTCTGTGACTGTGTAGCCTAAGCCAAGGCCTAATAAGTATAAAAGAAAGAGAGAGGAAAATACGGCTGTCTGATGAGTCTGTGGTTTTGTGGTTTCACGCGTTCCCGAGATGTTTAGCTTTAATCTCGCTTTTGTGAAAAAAAGATTGTATTAAAAAATAAAAGAACAATAAATTCGATAGAATTTAAACAACAACAAAAAGTACGTCTTGGGGCTGGAGTTGGGTTGATGTGCGGCGAAAGTGACTGTTATAACGATCAAAACAAAACGTAGGCTTAGACTTAGATTTAGATCATGTGAAAAGATTCTTGCTTTTACAGTTCATGTTGACGTTGTGAAAGCCTCGCTCGGATAACAGCGCTCTGATCTCTGGCAGCTGGGGCTGGGCTGAGTATAAATATTATTATAGTTGTTTCCAACAGACTGCACAGTTCACGTCAAGATTTATTATAGAGGCTTATTATAAGAAGACCTTGAACAGTTTCACTAAGAATCTAGATATTATATCTAGATATCTTGATCTAATCTAGATCTAGACAGTAAATTCTAATAATTTTGTGGGAGATTTACTCAGATTCTGTGTAGGCCCTAGCCCTAGGCCTATTATAGTCAAGGCCAAGGGCTAATCCAGCCCTACCATGTTGACAAACAAAAATACAATGGGCGACGTTGTGATCTGCCAATTTAGCCTAGTATTGACAGTCTAGGCAAATCTGTTATAGATCGACATCATCGACTAGAATCTAGATTCTAGATCTAGTTCTGTGAGAAAATGCTTGTGCTGGAAGATGAGATCATCCTGTCCACCCGACTGGGCAGCAGCTCGGTCCAGCTGTACCTGGGGGATATCACTGACCTTTCCATTGAAAACAAAGTGGACATTATCTTCACGTCTGCTTTTCCAGGTTTGTGTTAGAAACGGTTTATAATATTTTTGTTCCTCTGCTAGACTTTTATTGTGCTTCCACTCGTAGGCTAGCTACTGATCTCCTCTCCATTTATCACTGACTGCACCAGATGAGGATCTATTACTAAACTTTATATATTGTACCTTTTTATAAGTAACTTCAACAGCCTTTGTTCCGAACTTAACATGTATTTATTTCATCAACAATACGAAATCACGTTTGACATAGGTACCTGTGAACACAAGAATAACAAATTTATGCGAATGTAGTGCATTTTATAATATATATATATATAACAAATTAATCAATTTAATATCGTCTTTTACTAAATTGTAATGGCACTAAATGAGGACTGTCAATTATCAATAGTCTATAGATCTAGTCACAACAATAACAGCCTACTGATTTAGGAAAAGTAGCTTACAATTATTTAATTACAGTTACAGTTACAAATATCTTTTTCACCCTATTACTAATTTAGTAAGCATAAATTGACTAGATCATTTCATTTTCTATCTCCTTGTACTCCAGCAGTACTCATGAGACTCATGTTGTTTAAAAAAGTGCTTCTTTAGCCAGTTGAAAGTCTTCATGGTAGGTATCATGTTATGATATTATGGAGGTCAATTATTGATGCTGCTGGTGTGTGTGACAGGTGACTACAGTGCTGCTCACAAAACTACGCTGATCCATGCCCTCAAGAGCAAACTGGGCATCAGTGTGAATAAGCTGGCCAAAAACAAGGACCTTGACCTCAGGGCATTTTTCTCCTGTTGGATGTCTGCTCGACTCCCTGACCATTTACCCTTTGGGAGGCTTGTCTGCTTTGAAATGTAAGTTCTGTTGTGGATGCGAAAAACGTTACATTCTTAAAACATGAGCTATTGTCGAGAAAAAGAATCAACTACTTCGTTTTATATTTAAGCAAAAAATCTGTTGACGATAAGAAAATTTTATTTTTGTAAAAATAGGCTTTATATTAGTGTAAAAAAAGGTTACTTTTTCTGAACAAGCTCTATTGTTGGTTTTGTTTTGTTTGGTGTTTTACAGCACTCATAACTGCATATGACAAGGCCATATATCTATCAGCTTGCAGGACACAATAAACATTTTCAGTTTGATAGGGATTAATTTTGAATTTTGTCCGGGTGGTGGCCAAAACGTACTCTTATAGATTTTGGACCACCAAAGGATCTTTAACTTGCGCAACTTGCCCACAGCACATCCCAGATTTTTCGGCCTTGTCCAAGAAGGCTAAGTGTTAGATCTTAGGCCTAACTACCCGAAGATCAGAGGTGTGGCTGAAAGACAACAGTAAGAAGGAGCCTAGGAGAAGCAGTAGAAAGGCTGCAGAAAGAGTCAGGAGCACAGATCCGAGGAGGGGGATGGAATGAGAAAATTTTTTAGAAGAAAATATTCCGGAGCTGTCAGGTTTCGAACTTGGGATCTATTGCATGAAAGGCGAACACTGTAACCTCTAGACCACAAGATACCCCCCCCCCCCCTCCCAAGCTCTGTTGTTGATTTTAAAAAAAATTAGTTTCTTAAAACAAGCTCTATTATTGTGGGGCAAAAAAATGTAACTTTCCTGAAATTATCCAGCTTCAAAATTTGAATACAGGTTATCCATATCTTGTGGTCAAACATAAGTACTAAGAAAAGCGAAAGCTATGCAGGCAAAATGTTTTATCAGCACTCTAGACTCAAGAGTAGGGGAGGAAGAATGAGATATTTTGTGGTTTTGAGATGTTTTATCAATATCCTGCTTGTAAGAGAGAGGAAAATTGGAAGATAGGAAAGAGTATTTTGCTTATTCCTTACTCATTCTGTTTTGTGAGTTTCTGTGGTGTGTAGGCTATTGTGGACAAATATATTTCAGAAAATTAAATCGTAACAATTCGGATGAATAATTTTCCTACTTCCATGTCTTGACGGAAAGGCTTTTTTTGTGTGGGTGGGTGGTTTGCGGGTGCTCTGGTGTGGTCTGCTTCTTCTTTCCTATGGAACGTCTATCGTCCTTATCTCCCCTTCTTCATTTTTATGTTTGTTACTCTCTTGTAACACCTCTAATCTTCTGGAGCTCATATGACCTTATGCTGTCGCGAGCGCCGTAAAACCTCTACTAAAACTAAAAAATTTTTATTTGGTTGTTCTTCAGTAACCGGGATGGTGCCACAATTGCCGACCAAATGTCCATGGTGTTCCGGGCCATGATGCCTATCTTCAACGGCAACGAGAGTACAATCATCACTCCGATATTGGCCACGGGATGTCAGGTGAGAGAAGAATGTTGCCACCGTCTTGTGTTTGTGTGTGCTTCTCTTGGGGGTCAGTGAGTGGTGTCATAGACTTGGTGCCACATGTCATAAAAAATAAAATAAAAGTAATAATAGATTAAACTTTTATTGATCCCAGAAGGGCAATTTGGTTTACAATGGCATACATACATACATACATACATACATACATACATACATACATACATACATACATACGTACGTACGTACGTACGTACGTACGTACTGTAATGTCCATTACTATTAGGCAAACCACCTCTATTGCCTTAGTATTTAGGAAGACCTGGCAACTGTAACCACTGGCACGTATTTTAGAGAAGAGTGGTCACTACTGGTCAGTAATAAAGAGTACGTCCACCGGTACAGTCGTGTCTGGCTCCTGTTGTTTTCAATGTCTGTCTAGGTCTACATGTTGTGATTGTGAAGTCCCGACGGTACAATGGCGACGAGGATCACGTACTAGATGAGTACTACGGTAGACTAGATCTACTATCGGTGAGTTGAAGAAGAACGACTGTACAATACGGTGAGTTGATGGGCAAAACCCATACTCGAGGTTAAGTCAGTTAGTTAGATCTGGTAGTTAGTCCTACATTTTTTTCAGTGAAACAACTAGATCTCTAGATTCTAGTCAAATAATGTCTCTTCCATCATTCCCTAACTTCATTATCCGCGAGGATGAATTATCTGTCGGGACGAGATGGCGAAAATGGATTCAACAGCTTGAAAATCTGTTAATTGGTATGGATATCCAGTCTGATAGCAGAAAAAAAGCCTTACTAATACATTATGGAGGCGAAGAAATATTTGATCTAGTTGACACGTTTCCAGAGGAACATAAATCCACCTTCGAGACTCTCAAAACGACTCTAACAAATCATTTTACGCCAAAAGTAAATCTGGTGTACGAATCATTCAAGTTCAGAAAAATGCATCAAGAACAATTGGAATCTGTAGACCAGTTTCATGTACGTTTACGCAGACAAGCAGCTCTGTGTGACTTTGCTGATCTTGAAAGAGAAATTCTGTCACAGATGATTGAAGGGGTCATATCGTCACAGTTGAGAAGGAAAGCAATTAAGGATAAAGTAACTTTACAGCAATTCCTACAAGAAGCTAGGAATGAAGAACTAACCAACAAGCAGGTTGGGGAGATAGAAAGAGAAGTAGGCCAAGCTTCAGCCATCAACAGAAAACCAGGACGTATCAACAGAACAGAGCAGAGTCATTCTCAGGAAAAAGTAGGTGCAAGTAATCAACCCAGATACAAGCGTACACACAAAGGAAGTAAACCTTCGGGGAGCAAAACAAAGTGCAGGAACTGTGGTGGTACTTTCCCCCATCCGTCAACAAGACCATGCCCAGCAAAAGGCAAAGTTTGTCATTCGTGCGGCAAATATAATCACTTTTCTTCTGTCTGTAAATCTTCAGGGAAATCGCAAAACCAAAATACTGCGGTAAAGCAAATTCACCGTGATGATGAATCAGATTCTGACAGCACTGGAGTGTTTCAGATAAATCCAAAGAAAAACGTACCTACAGTGACGGTAAATATGTGTTCAAGCAAGCTGACGTTTATTGTCGATACTGGTGCATCTGTAAATATCATAACAAAGACAACGTATGATCTGATGAAGGAGAAACCTATTTTGAGGCCTGATCCTATTGCTATTTATGGATACTCAAACAGTGAAAAGCTGGATGTCCTTGGACGTTTCACAGAAAACATCCAATGCAACGGGAAGAAGATGAAGGGAAGTTTCTATGTCGTCAAGACCCCCGAAAAAGCATGCAACTTACTCTCAGCAACAACCTCTGAGGAACTAGGAATAATTTCCTTCCTGAACAATGTAACTATCTCGGATGCTCTTTTTCAGGGATTCGGCAAAATTAAAGGTCTCATGATTAAACTCCACATTGATCAAGAAGTTCAACCAGTCGCCCAAAAATACAGAAGAATACCATACCATGTAAGGAAGGATGTTGAAGCGGAAATTCAACGCCTAGAAAAACAAGACATCATTGAAAAGGTAGAGGGTCCTACCTCATGGGTCAGTCCTATAGTAGTTGTCCCAAAGAAATCTGGTGGAGTTCGTCTCTGCGTAGACATGAGACGTGCAAATACAGCTATCAAAAGAGAGAGACACCCAATGCCCACACTCGAGGAGGTGATCAACGAATTAAATGGCTCCATATTCTTCAGTCGTTTGGACCTACAGCAAGCATTCCATCAGATGGAACTCGCAGAAGAAAGTCGTCACATCACCACTTTCGCTACTCATGTTGGCCTGAGAAGGTACAAAAGACTTATGTTCGGCATAAATGCAGCTCCAGAACTGTTCCAGCATCACCTTAGTCAGATACTACATGATATTCAGGGTGTCACAAACTACATTGATGATGTCATAGTCTTCGGCAAGAACAGAAATGAGCATGACAGGAATTTGCAAGCTACACTAGACCGACTACAAGACAAAGGAGTCAAATTGAACAAGGAAAAATGTCTGTTCGGAGTCCAAAAGCTGACCTTCCTGGGACATGTTTTCGGCAAAGATGGAATCTACCTCGAGCCGCACAAGATCAAGTCCATATCTGAGGCAGCACCGCCGTCAACTGTCTCAGAAGTTAGATCATTTCTTGGCATGACGCAGTATGTGTCACGCTTTATCAGAGGGTATGCGACTATCACAGAACCTTTACGCATGTTGACAAAGAAGACTCAGTCTTGGATTTGGGGGAAATCTCAACAGGATGCTTTTGATCAGCTCAAATCCGCTCTTATAAACGCAGGAGTCATGACCTACTTTGATCCAGCCAAATCTACTGAGATCATAGTCGATGCATCCCCATGTGGACTCGGTGCAATCTTAACTCAGGAGGGGCATGTCATTAGCTACGGAAGTCGAGCACTTACACCAGTGGAAACGAGATACTCCCAAACCGAAAGAGAGATGCTAGCCGTCGTGTTTGGAGTGGAGAAGTTCCACATGTACTTATATGGGTCTAAGTTCACTGTTACAACTGACCATAAGCCATTACTTGGCATAATCAACAGCAACAAGCCATGTTCAGCACGCTTCGAGAGATGGCGTCTTAGGCTGATGCCATACGAGTTCAACCTCAGATACAGACCTGGGAAAGATGAGCTCAACCCAGCAGATTATCTTAGCCGTCACCCCATTACTGAACCTACCAGAGACAACAAAGGTGAAAACTACATCAGTTATGTGACGAAAGCATCAGTTCCAAATGCTCTTACTCTTGATGAAGTCAAAGTCGCCACAAAGAAGGACCCTCAGCTGAAGAGAGTGATGACTGCAATCCAGTCTGGAAACTGGAAAGACAAGTCGCTTTCTTCATTTTCAAATATCAGAGATGAACTTTCGGTTTACGATGGGGTCATAATGCGCCAACACAGACTGGTTATTCCTAGTAGCCTACATCATCAAGTGATCACTCTCGCACATGACTCTCACCAAGGTATCGTAAAAACAAAACAACTAATCCGCGAGAAAGTATGGTTTCCAGGCATAGACAGAATGGTGGAAGAACACCTGAAAGGGTGTGTACCATGCCAATCATCAGTCACAGGCACTCCAAATCGTGAACCATTGAAGATGACACCACTGCCAGATTGTGCATGGGATGAAATATCAGTCGACTTTGCAGGACCTTTTCCATCTGGCGAATATCTGCTTATCATGATGGATGATTATAGCCGCTTCCCAGAAGTTGAAATTCTACACTCAACGTCGGCAAGATCAGTAATTCCAAAAATTAATCAAAATTTTGCCAGATTCGGTAACCCAAGCGTCCTCAAAAGTGACAACGGACCTCCATTCAGCAGCAAAGAATTTGCAACATTCGCCAAGAAGATGGGTTTTCATCACCGCAGAATCACTCCTCTCTGGCCAGAAGCAAATGGCGAGGCTGAAAGATTTGTAAGAACTATCAACAAATTCATTCACACCTGCGAATCGGGAGGGTCATCGTGGAAGGAGGAGTTGCCCAATTTCCTTCGCCAATTTCGCTCAACTCCCCATTCCTCAACAGGAGTTTCACCGCATGAGGCCCTCACTGGGAGGAAAATGAAAACATTTTTCCCAGAGCTTCATGTGGAAAGGGACTCTTTGTTCCACTACAATCTTGCAAAGAAGGACTCTGCCTCCAAATCTAAACAAAAAACATTTGCAGATAGGACAAGGAGAACTCAACCCCACAAGTTTAGTGTCGGAGACACTGTATTAGTTCGCCAGAAGAAGATGAACAAGCTCACCCCACCATACATACCAAAACCGTACACAATAGTGAACATAAAAGGAAGCATGATTACTGCAAGAAGAGGGACTCATCAAATCGTCAGGAACTCATCCCACTTCAAACAGATTCCTTTTCAACAAATTGGGGAGGAAAAGGAGATAGAGGCAGACACAGATGAGGCTCCGGAAGACTTCCTAGAGCCTTTAAAACAATGGCAACATCCAAAGCCACATACTAGACAAAGAGACATGAGACCTACCGAGTCTCCAAGATCTGCAACATGCTCTACACAACAATCTACTGGGTCTCCAAGATCTTCAAGATCTTCCACTCAAGCTACACCAGGACCTACCTCCTATTCGCATCACCCATTAGTGCGAGCCCAGTCTCCACACTCTCCTACTTTGGTCGAGCAAACAGACTCACCAATGCGAGTAATGCAGCCATCACGCTCTTACTCTCGCACACAGTCTCAAACAAGTCCATATACTACAGTAACAAGAAGCAGCCGCGTTGTGAAACCGCCCAACAAATACACACCTTAGGAAAGTTGAATCTCTGATTCAGGGCAATTGCAGCGGCACGCAACATAATGCATACACACGTTATACCTTATAAATGTACAGCAGTTCACTAATTATAAGACTCAATAGGAGTCAATTGTTTTCTTACAGTTTAAGTTATTAAGATACAAAAATACACTATTCTTTTGAGGACACCGGTAGGAACCGGCTGGAAGTCAAGTCAAGCCAAGTATGAGACTATAAATTACATAATAAAACAAGATTAATTTTAAATTGATTTTTATTTCTGAAATCAAATCCCTCTGTCTTTGGTGTTAAATTCTCTAGCTAAACTGGGGAGGGATGTAATGTCCATTACTATTAGGCAAACCACCTCTATTGCCTTAGTATTTAGGAAGACCTGGCAACTGTAACCACTGGCACGTATTTTAGAGAAGAGTGGTCACTACTGGTCAGTAATAAAGAGTACGTCCACCGGTACAGTCGTGTCTGGCTCCTGTTGTTTTCAATGTCTGTCTAGATCTACATGTTGTGATTGTGAAGTCCCGACGGTACACGTACGTTCGTACGTACGTCGTACGTACATACATACATACATACTTACACACACACACACATACACACAACACACACATGCGCACACACACACACACACACACACACACACACACACACACACACACACACACTCACACACATACACACACACACACATACATACATGCATAATTATGAATACATACATACATAAATACATGCACAAATACATACATAACTACACATGTTATGAATGATTATGTCACTTGTTTCTTAATTTTAGTCTCATAGATTTAGTTCTCAGTAGTTTCAAAGATTCAAATCACAGTTTTGTCGTGGATGTTTGGCAGGTGCTCTGGTGGGGTTTGCTCCTTCATCTTTCCTATCAACAAACATCTATCTTCCGTATCTCCCCTCCTTCTTTTTTGTTTATGTTACTCTCTTGTAACACATCTATTCTTCGGCACTTATATGACCTTATTGTGTTGAAAGTGCCGTAAAACTCTCACTAAAACTAAACAGTTTTGTCTCATGCTTTGTTAGCAGTTTCACAGATTTAGTTTAAATAATTATTTCACATGTTTCATTATTTGTGTGGCCTCATGGTGAAATCAGGCTCTTGTCAAAATAAAGAAATCAAAGAAACCAACATTTTTGTGCACGTGGCCCGATTTTAATCTATTTTTTGTCTTTTTTCGGGGAAGGAATCATCGCCTTTTACTTTCATGTCCATTTAAAAAGACATCTGAGTGGATTTTACCCAAAAAAAACCTTGATTGAAAGCACAAATAATTTGCGGTTTCAAAGAACGCTCAAGCTTTAGAGGTCACCAAACGCTGGTGGCCATTTTTCGCTCACTTTATATCTGACACCAGGTAACTCATATCTCCTTCAATCGCAAATATCTCGACTTGTATTCGAGATATATGGGGGTAATTTTTCATCAAAAGCAATACGAATGAACAAGCTTTAAGATGGTATCAGTAACTCCTTTGACCAAAAATTGATGCACACCTGATTCCACCATGTTGTGACCCATTTGTAATGTCACAAATTTAGGTTTCTGTTATAGTGTGCAATATTGTATGTGATGGTTTGTAACAAAATAGGATCTATCTTGCAATTTGTTTCCACACTCTTATCGACTCGATGTGATGTGTGATGGTTTTTAACTGAATATTTGTTGTGGTTTTTTAAGCCTGGTGTGCTCTTATTACATTTGCTGTGCATTTAATCAACGTTTTACAGTAAAATCCTTACAAAAATGTTTTTAAAAGGACATAAAAGCTGTTGAGCTAAAAAACAAAAATTTGAAAAAGGTTCTCAGACTAGAAGAAAAATGCCAATATCTTCTTTTGCATTATTTTGACGAGCTCCTGATTTCAGCATGATGCCTCACAAATGTGTGTTGTCCTATCGTTTGTCCAGCACGCTCCCCTACACGCAATGCTTGGTGTGATAGTTTGTAATAAATAGCATTTGTACAGCGCATGTCTCCCCTCAAAAGCAAACTCTATGCGCTTTACACTATATTATTACCCCAGTAGACCATAGAACACTCAGAAACATTCTGAGCTTCCTGGGAAGCATGCAGTGCACATGCAAGCAGCCGATTAAGCCCTCAAACACCAACAAACTGACTAGATCTTTCACTGTCTATAGCTGGGTACCCATTCCCACCTGGGTGAAGTGGAGAAAATTCGTATAAAGTGCCTTTCCCAAGGACCCAACGTCGGGCCCACGGCTCTAACCCCCAAACCCACAACCTCACGATTACGAGTCCGGTAGCCTAACCACTAGTTTGTAACAAAATGTGTGTCGTCCTCTCGTTTTTCCAGCACGCCCCCCTGGATGCAATGCTGCGTGTGATGGTCTCGAACGCCCTGTACTGGATCCGGGCCGGCCTCCCTCTCAAGTGCATCAAGCTGGTCCTGTACACCGCCAACCCGGACCGCGACCGACAGTTCCTGTACAAGTCCTCCATAGAACAGTTTGGACTCATCAAGAAGAAGTGGGAGTTCCGTAACACACAGAACGTGAGACCTTGTTAACTCTTATACCGGGTACCCATTGGCACGGTCGGGTCAGGTCAAGTCGAGTTGGGTGGGTTTGCTAGCCTGATTGAGGGCGCAAAGCAGTTATCATGGCACAAACCGATCGCCCGACTCATCCCTTAAAAAAGCAAAGGCGTTTGTTTTCAGGCAACGAGTCGGGCGATCGACCCAACTCAACCCCATCCTGTCCATTGTAGGTACCCGGTATTATAAGCCCGTGTGTTCTGACAGACTTTTCCGACATTAATTTGCCCTTTACCGAAATGACAGAAGTTAGTTAGAGTGAGCTCAAATTAATTGCTCATAAACTGCTCAAAGAAATGCCAAACAATAGACAAAAGGAAATTATAGTGGCTTTCTTTGGATATTCTAGAAATAGTTTATTAGTAGTTAGTTGCAGTATGTGTTTTACACCACTGTCAACGTAATCTGGTCGCATTAACACCACCTTTTGTTAGTTGTTAGTTATAGTATGTGATTTACACTGCTAGCGACACAATTTGGTTTCCATCCTCAGAGCAGTCTTTCTTGTACGTTTTCAGGAGGCAAAAGAGACATACGATGTATGTTTCTGCTATGCCAAATCGGATGAGCATTGGATGACGGATGTCTCTAGAACTCTTGTGTCTCGGGACCACTCACTCAAGATGTACAAGGAACTATTTATAGCCAGCACTGATGACTCTTGGCAAGAAGTTGTTTTCAATATTTTGTCCTGCTCCAGGAGGTAATGATTCGAAAACAGTTGTATTTGTGTGTGTATGTGTGTGTGTGTGTGGGGGGGGG